CCAACTCACAAATCCCGAGGGGGTACCATCACCCCAACATATAGTAGAGAATTCCCTGGCGTTCTCTACGGCCGGAACTCTTGTAATTCCCTGGCGTTCTCTACGGCCGGAACTCTTGTATAGGACTCCATTTGAATGACCATCTATTTTGGCTTTTTATTATCCTGTTTTAACATCCCATAATCTGATTGACTTATCATAGCTGCCAGAAGCTACTGTTGTTCCATCTGGTGAGAAGCATACTGACCATACAGTTCCACTATGACCATCTAATTTGTTTAACTCTTGAATCTTAATGTTCTACCACTTACAACTTAATAGTAAAGCTCCATTTAGATTGACTCCACTGATATCTACGTTCTCAAAATGAGATCCGCTTAAATTACATCTAACAAAATTTCCACCTATCAAAGATGTATTTTTAATCCTAATGTCTTAAAAGTTTTAGTTGGTTAGATCAACCTTCATCTGTACCAATAAATGAAGCGCATTTGATCCACTCTGTATAAATTAGTTATCTAAGGATGTGAGATTAATTAAGAATTTTAAAAATTAGATAATCTTCTCATCTTTTGATATATTATAAATTAATTTTTGTCTAATTTATTAGAATTTTTTGTTGGAATAATCATTTTTATTAAATATATTTTGACTGATATTGAATATAGCATTTCTTATTTTATTAATGTTATTTTGTCCTAATTATAACACATGTTTTTGATTTTCCTTTTTTGATAAAAATTCTAAAATATCTGAACTTTTTTGATTTCTAAGCTAATTAGATATCACACTATATGCTTAAACATCAATGTCTTTTAATGAAGTTAAAATCTCATATAAATCTTCTTTCCTTTCATATTAAAATTATTCTAAATCATTTAATTTTTCAAGCTCCTAAATTACTTCATCAATACTAATTCTTTTTCTAAGTGGATCTAATTTTAGTTAATTATCTAATCTTTGAACAATCATTTTTTATAATAATTTTAATTGCCAATCTTTATCTTCATTTTTTACTGAATCTTTTATTTTATTGTTTATTTATAATTGTGATATCTGAGTACATTATCTCTCTAATTCTTTATCTCCAAGATTTGGTTCAAAAAATGTTTTATTATTAAAAATTTCATAAAAGATCATACCTAATGACCATATGTCGATAGTGGAATCATAGTAGTTGCTGACATACATTTCAGGCGCCATATATATCATTGTTCCTTGTTTTAGAGTTTTAGTCTAGTTTGTAATTTTTTTAACGATTCCAAAATCAATTAATTTGATATGATTATCTTATCCAATAACAAAATTATTTGGTTTTAAATCTCTATGAAAATACCCTAATTTGTGTAATTCAGAAACTCCTTTTGCCATTTCCAAACAAACCATTCTTTTATCAGGTAAATTTTAGAATTCTATTTTTTTCCCTAATTCCATTAGGGTGTAAATTACTCCTTTATCTTCAACAGCAAAAACTTAGATTATATTTTCAAATTTTTGTCTCTTAACAGCTTTTAGTATCCTTTCTTCATCATCAGTCATCTCAAATTATAATTTTAAGGCCACAGCAATGCTGTTGTCTTTTCTTTCTCCTTTAAACACCTAACATGTTTACTCTTTGTAAATCAAATCCCTTATTTCCACTGTTATAGTTTCAACTTTAATGATATCACCTACTTTGGACATTAATTCTGAATTCTATTAAATTTATACTTTGTTGTTATTCAAAATATATATGTTTATATAACAAATAAATGACGTATCAAATTTTGAGTGAGTGAAAAATAAAAATAGAAAATTAAGAAATTCCAATAGATGTATTAAATAAACATGATGGAATGGAATAGTACTTGAATGAATGAATGAAATCAGATTATGGTAACCCAGAAAAAACTACTTTAGAATCTGGTTGTGATGATAAGTCAATCAGATTATGGGATGTTAAAACAGGATAATAAAAAGCCAAATTAGATGGTCATAGTAATTTAGTAATGTCAGTATGCTTCTCACCAGATGGAACTACTTTAGCATCTGGTAGCAGAGATGACTCAATCAGATTATGGGATGTTAAAACAGGATAATAAAAAGCCAAATTAGATGGTCAT